TACACTTTTTCCGAAAAAAGGGGATGGAAAACCAGTAATACTCGGACTTTCGGGACCGGTATTGCTGTCAGGAGTGAGGAGAGAGCTACACTCGCCATCAGCTATGTTACCTTTTTTCTTGAAGCTCAAGCCGCGCAAGAAGCCTCCAGGTGAAGAACTACCTTTTCCGGAACCCCAGGACGGAAGTAAACCCTTTCCACTATGGCCACCGAATCCTACTGGTCTAGGAGGTATTTGAAGTGAAAGATCCTAGGGCCAACCACTTGTTCCGGGCTTAGAAGGTCTGCTACCGAAGGGTTCCAGCAACGGAAAATTCGCCTGCATGTTAAGGAAGTTCAATTCAATTTCTTTAGCAGGCCTACACAAAACATCCAACATCATAAATCGCGTGACAAAACATGTACGAATGTAGCATTCGTTATTGTTTCTCGTGGTGCCCGGATCCATGCTTGCTCATACTGAAATCTGAATTTTATTCCGTTAATTATCCATTTGAGCGATTGTCGTGTACTACCATGAAATATGTGTTGTTAATATATTGTATACCCTCCCTCGAAAATATTTCTGAATCCTCCATTGGTTTCTCGGATTTCGGAATTTGTAGACGCCTATTTAATAGCGAACTCAATATCCTTGTATCTATCTCAGCTAATTTATGGATCAAGTATGCATATATTTCTTACAATTCATAACGTATACAAAATCTGAATCAAATTCTTCAAATCCCTAAACCCCAAACATAGCATAAGAGATCACCAAACAAAGTGAGAAAATTAAAAAAATCTCGGATTCTTTTTTTTAATCTTATTTTCAGCCCAATGGAAACAAAACCAAGAGCATAAATTCACACCGTAATATATATATATATATATATATATATATATATATAGAGAGAGAGAGAGAGAGAGAGAGGAAAAGAAGAGAACCTGAGAAGAATCCTTAGAAATTCCATTGCTGACAGCTCCAGCTTCAGCTGCTTGCATTGCTAATTCTTGGATAAACTAGTAAGAATTAAATAAATCAGTCGATAATTTAAAAAAAAAAGTAATAATGATTTTTGAGGAATTGATAAAAATAGTCAGGTCGGAGTCGACGACTTGGGAAGATGACCAGAAGCTCTGTCTGGAGGACAGCCCCGCCCCCTCCTTGCCCCGTTGTCTTGTCTTTTTTCCCCTCTCTCTCTCTACTCACTCGCGCTTATACGTATGTTCTCTAATCGATTTAGATCGTCGTCACGTGACATGTTGAATTTATAATCCAATGGCATTTTAAAGTTGGCATGTAGGGTTGATATGGTCGGGTTCAGTCGGATTTCGGTTAATCTGATATGAAATCTTATCCGAAAATGTATATTCTCTACTAGAAAATTGATTAAATCTAGGTGTAGGGGTGATTTCATCTGATCTGAATTTGATCTGATTTTTTAATATAAAATTCGAACCGATATATATGTAGGGATAGGATATTATTAAACAATGTAAAACATATTTAGTTTTATATAAATTTAAGACCGTTGATAAGAAAAAATACTAAAATTAACATTAGGAAGTGATAAGATATTCACTAGGAAAAAATGAATTAATCTCAATCATATATATATTATCCCTAAATATATAAGGTAAATTTAATTTTTTTACCCTAAATCCGAACTCGACCCGACCTGAGAATGTCCTCCAAAAAAAATTTGACCTGGTCTGAATCCGAAAACTTTTAAACAAATCCGATCAGATCAAGTCGAAACTTATCGAGTTCAAGTCTCGTGTCTATCCCAGTTCGCATGTAAGTAAATAATTTGAGGTGGAATTAGGAATTAATTTTATTAAAATGGTTTTAGTTTAATAAATTAAAGGATAAAATACATAAATAATCCCTCAAAAATAAGATATTATTTTATAAAGTCCTTCAACTCAACTTATCGAGTTGTTTATGTACTTATCAAATCGAATTAGCCTTTGCTCGACTCAACTCGTTAAGGTCTCTAGTCGAGCTAGAGTTCGATTCGAATCAACCCGAAACGAACTTTGATTGAGTTTTGACCGAGTTAAATTCTAAAAACTCACGAGTTACTCAACTCATTAAACACCCTAATTACGAGATGAATATATCAACTTAATTTTCTATATTTAAATTAACTAACACTTCAAACTCACTACCTTATTTAAAACAGTAAGATCTTATCTTATTAAATTAACTAATAATTGATATAAATTTTATTAATATTTATTATAGCTATTAATTTTTCTATTTTCAAGTAGGAAAAATAACAGATCAAAGAAATTCACTCAAAAACATTCTCCCCTATTTCCCCGCTCTTTTCCTTTCATTTCCTTTAAATATATATATATATATATATATATCTTAGCGTTCACATTTCCCTCTCAACAAATTACAATCGCAGCAGAGCCCAGAAAGGAAGGAAGGGAGTTTCTTTTGATAAATTTATTCAAGCAACCTTCCTTTGATCTTCTTTCTCTTTTCTATTTCATTTTAATTTTGATTTTCGCTTATTCTGAGGGCCTTTTTTGAAAATTTACTCAAATCTAAAATTTTAGTTTTTTTGAATTTTTTGAGGGGTAAATTAATATGGGGACAGAAGTTTTGCGGTATCAGGATTGTTTGATCGAACGGATCGGGGTTTCTCTGATGGCTTGTTCTTGCTGGAGATACGGAAACGGTGGAGTTAACCCTAGTTACCACAGAAACGGAAGATGTAAAAAGAAGCACGTTCAGAAGAAGCGGGTCAGGTCAGATCAGGCGGCTTCGAAGAGATCAAGCTCCAACGATAAGTTGGTGGTGGTGAGGAACAATGTTGGGATAGAGAAGGTTACGATTTTGAGGCGAAGCGGGGGAAACGGCGGATTTAGCCCTAGTTATTACGGAAACGGTAGGTTTAACAAGAAGCCCGTTCAGATGAAGCGGATCGGCTCGGATCATGCTGTTTCGAAGAGATCTAGCTCCAACGATAAGTTGAAGGTGGTGAGGAACAACAATGTCGGAATAGAGAAGGCTACGATTTTGAGGCGCGGCGAATTGTTTGATTCAAGGATCAACGGCGGGAGGGAAGACAAGTTTCCGGCGATCGAAAAATCCGACGTGTACGCCGGATCGGCTTTCGTCGTATCACCAGCACCGAGTTCGCTTCCTTTACCATCTTTCTCAAAGAAGAAACAAATTCCGATCGATGATTCAGCTACCAGGGATCTCAGGCGTTTGCTCCGGCTCGATCTCTGAGATCCGAATCCTGACCCGGATATAGATTTTGGGATCCGAAAACAGCCTTCGTTAACATCATCTCCCCTCTATTTCTCTCTCTGTTTGAATCTTTTCGTCTTTATTTAGATTCTCTCCTGAATCTTCAAGATCCGTTCCCCTGTTATATTTTTTTTTCGAACGGAGGAAGGATTTGAAAATAGGAGAAAATATTAGGGAGCGATTAGATAATATTTCCACATTGTCTTGTCGGTTGAAAGAGGAAATTAAAGAGGGTTGAAATGCAATATAGATATAGTGTGGGGTTGGATTTATAATTAAACGGGCTGTGAAATATATATATATATATTAATTCTCTGTTGTGGGGGAAACTAAGAAAGATTTGCAATCTCGTCCCTATGTTGTTATAAAAAGATAATTTAAGGAATTAGGGAGAAATTTGAGCAGATTTTTCTTTTATATAAATACAGATTTGCTCTGCTTTTATTGTAGTTTGTAAAGAGGGGGTTCTTGAGATTCCCCCTTTGTTAATATATCTTTAGCTATTTATTTTTTCTTTTAAAAATGTTTTAAATTTTTATTTTATTTGGCTTAAAAGATATAGAGAGTTGCCTTCAGTATTGTTACAATGAGTCTAGAGGCGTGCCTTGGAGGATTTAATCATAGAGCGAGGAGAACTTGGAGGATTTGATTGCACAATTGAATAGTCCTTTAAGGTATTATAAAACTCAACCATATTATTGAACAGTGTCTCGTCGTCGGGAGTTAAGTTATGATAAATGCTTAATGTCTTACACGATTTTCATATTATATTTTTCTTTTAAGGTATTGTTTGTGGGACACTGTAAATTTAGAAATATATTTTAGGGTTATACACGTATGTTAACAACATAATTTTTTTAAATTGGTAGATATAAATAAAATTTTAAGATGTTCATTGTCAGTAAAATGAGTAATTAATCGAAAAAACTCAAATTCAAGGTAGGTACGAAAAATTTTAGGGTAGACAACATCAGTAAAATAAGTAACTAATCAAAGAAAATTTGAATTTGCTCACCTTCACTAAGTTGTGGATACGCCCCTATTGTGACATGTTACAAGATAGAAAGATAAATAATTAAATATTTTACAATAATATTATTTTGAAAGTATATAATATTTTATTGTTGAGATTTTAATCGACCCTATAATCAAAATACCCTTACAAAGTAAGATTGGCCTAGATGTATCCCCTTGCCTCTTCCCCACATGCGTATCTAATTGACGTGTTTCCTCTCTTTATTTGATATCATTTTTCTTTCTTTGTATTTTAGGGTGCAATGATTCGTCGAAGTTTCTTAGTGTATGATGATTTACATGTATTAAATATAAGGGAAAACATATATAAATAGTATCCCGACTATTGTATATTATTTTATTAAGTTATTCGATTATTAAAAACTATAAAATATTTATCTAACTATTTATTATGTTTTAAATTCATCTTTTTTCATTAAAAATAAACGATATTATTAGTTGAACATTAACATATTAATTGTAATATAATAAAATTTGATCATAAATTCTTAAACCAACTATCATATCACAATCAACAGTGACGGATGTACATTTGTGTTAGGGTAAAATTCATTAAAATTCGAATTTCCTTCTTAAAACTCAAAGTTTTTCTCTTAATATATGTGTATCCACCCTTAAAATTTATCGTCTTTAGTTTTGAAAATTATACTTCAAAAGAAAACAAAAGAAAAAAAATATTTTTTTCTTTTGAATTAAGTACAATTTTCTCGATTTCAAAGCAAACTCAAGCCACCCTTTGAAGGGGCTTGGTGCAAATTCTTCTTTTCTTCCCTGCATTTGCTCCGCTGCATTTTATGGAAATTTCATGGCCACAAATGGTGCCAAAACACGAAAACAATCCCGGCGAACTTCGTCTTCGGGTGTGTTTTGTTTTTTTTTTCGGCGCCGTCAAAACCTTCCCCAGACTACTAGAAGAAACTCTGCTGCCGTCGCTATCGTCGTCACGGTCGTGGTCGTACATAGGCGGGAGTTCGACCCTCCACCTCTCTAGCTTCGAAACGATCCCTTCCATGCTCTCGTCTAAACTCCAACTCCCGACCAACGAACTCTCTGCGTCGTCCATCTTGTTTTGGTTCTTGATATTGGCGACGGCGGCCGCTACTTCCGATGGCGACGGACCCAGATCGGAATCGTATTTTAGAGCCCTGTTATCAAACCCGCCAAATGTTAACCCGCTTGACCCGTATATTATCGAGCTTGATTTTCTTTTTTTTGTTAGTAGTATTCTCAAACGTGTAATTCAACATTGAACTCCCCCTCGATTTGATCTTGTCGCTTCTTTCTGACGGGCCACCGCCGCCGCCGGTGTTGAAAATGGACGATCCTTTAAAGGAGATCATCGGCACATATTGAGATCCCAACATCGAACTCGAATCGCTCAAGGTTCTTCGAAGCTCGTGTTTGATTGGTTCAAATGAAAATCGGTTGTTGTTGTTGTTCCGATCACTGCTTTGAACCGGCTCATCTTCGCCCATAAAATATTGGTACCCGACCGCCGATGAACCCATTTGCATATACAACGGCATGCTCCTCCTCGAACCGTCGAGCAACGTCAACCCGATGTTTAAAATCCCTTGCGGCCGACCGGATGGTCGCCGGACCTGAAGCGCGACGAACCTCATCCCTAGCTCAAATTCAAGGCATTGGTCGCTCGACGACGTCTTTAAGAGATTCCCGATGATGATCCGAACGGTCCCGACGTGGATATCACGGAACCAATGGACGGCGTAGATTTCGACCATGACGGCGGACGTTTCACTGGACAAGAACTCGTCGTCGACCCGGAAAATGAACTTATCGTTCCACGTCGGGTTGGTGTGGCCTTCGGTGTCGATTCGAGTCGTGAGCTTCCGTTTCGGGTTGACCCAAGCCACCGCGTACGTCTTCATTCCGCGACGGACTATGGGTTCCAAATCTTGAGCAGATATCAGGTTGAGTTCCAATAGCCGGAGCGGTGTCGAAACATCCATAATCAGTGACGACGACGTAGAAGACAAAGAAACCGTCGCTAATGGAAGGTATTAATTTATTATCGTCGCTGTTTCTTTACTTTCGTCGTTATTATTGAATTATAATTTTGAATCATATAAAAATTATATAATTCAATATTAACGACGAATTACCGTCTTCGTCGCCAAAGGTAGTTTTCCACGACGTTATTATCAAATTATCATTCGATAATTCAATATAACGACGGAAGTTTGTACCGCACTTGGTCGCGAAAGGTATTTTTCACGACGGAGTGTGTACGGGAAAACTGAAAAATAAAGAAGAAAAATTTGAGGAAATAAAGAATAAACTCTCGAGGGAATTTTGGAAATGCAGTGTGGATTTGTGGTTACAGAGATGAAACCGTTGTTAGTTACATTTTTGTTCGGAGTTTTCTTTTACGGTCACTAATCAAAATTTAGATTTTAAAATAGAATTTAAGATTTTTCTATTTTGATCCTAGTCTCTTAGAAAACTAAATTAAACATTATCAAAATTTTATCACAAAGATAAACCTATAACCCATTTTATTTTAGGGTAAAATACATAAATGGTCCCCCGTACTATTTTTATTAAGTTCATTGACTATTAAAAGTTATAAATAACCCTCCGACTACAGAGTGTTGTTTTGTTGAGTCCATCGACTTTCAAAAGTTACAAAATGGTCACACAACTATTCATTTTCCAAACTCATCCTTTTCAGTTGAAAAAATGACGGTATTCCGAACTGAACGTTAACTTGCTAATTGTGATATGATAAAATCCGATTCCATAATCTCAAATAGCTATCACATCCCAATTATCATATTAACGTCCAGCTTAGACAACCACAAATTTTTTTAACAGAAAGGGACGAGTTATATGATATAACTTACACCTTGTAAAATTAATAAAACATTTATATGATATAAATTTAGGAATTGTAGAGTACGAATGATTTTAAATTTTATACCTACAACCAACTATATGGTTTAAATAAAATTATTTTTTTTTGTCAAAATAAATATGGGAAGAGCATTCCCACACTTACCTAACCCTAATTTGCATCCTACGTTATGATTCGTGCCATTTATATTAGATTGAGTCAAATACATGTTTTTATCTTAAAAATCAGATTAGATATAATATTTTTAAATAAATATATAATGTATCATCTTATTAAATCAATTTACTATTAACATAAAATATATTTTCAGTTATAATTTTATTTTCGGACTAATTTTCTAAAATAGAGAGAAATTGACAATTAAAAAGCAATTACTTTTTCTTATTATTAATTGGAAGGAAATGAAATATGCCAAATATGAATTTTGTAAAAGGGGAAAAGAATAGGCCAAAAATAGGCATGCAAATGCAATGGCGTTGGAAATGGAGAGCTTTGAACTTAAACCCTCCCCCTCCCATGGCATCTCCACCTGAAAAAGCGGTCAACGCTAGATTTTCCCGTTGACCATACACCCCCCTCCCCTTTGCCGCCAATCAAAACATCCCTCCCCTTTCCCTTCACTTCCATTCTTCGAGATTTTCCCACCCTTCACACACGTCTCCCCTCTCTCTTTTCTTGATTGTGGATAAGCCCCAATTCGAACAGAACAAATCGTTGCTTCGACAATCAAGGATCGAAAGGGTTTCCGCCCTTATTTTTCTTTTTGATTTCACACCTTTTTGACCCCCCCCCCCCCCAAAAAAAAAATCGTCGACTTGATTTCTTAGGATCACAAACATCGTTGAAAGGGAGGGGATCCTGAATCGGAAAAAATGGCGTTATCGTGAATGAGAACATTCACCGTTCCATCGTCTTCTTCTCCAGCTGATGCTGTTAATTTCGCATAGACATTGCCGAAGGATCCCAAATTACTCTCAAATAATATGAAGGGTCTTCTCAAAGGTTTAAGAAACTTTCACAATATGTTCGGTGAGTGTATACCCAAAATTTTATTCGAGTTTTTCAAATCGAGTATTAAGTGGTTCGTCTCGATTAATTAAGCATTCGAGTCGAATATATTTAAATCAAGTATTTATCAAATTTCGATTGAATCGATTTCGTCTCATTTACTGCCGATTTGACAAATTTTGGATGCAGATGTAAAAGAACAAGAAATGCAAATAGGGAATCCTACGGACGTAAAGCATGTTGCTCATATTGGTATGGATGGTCCTGCTGCCAGTAAGCCTAGCTGGGTATGATTTTCTTCCTTTATTTCCATTATGATCTTTAATTCTTAAATTATATTTGTCTTCTCCAATTGGGATATTGCTATATTAAGTTATTTGACTATTAAAAATTACAAAATAGTCCTACGAATATAAGGAGCTGTTTTGTTGAGTACTTCGACTATTAAAAATTGTAAAATGGCCGGGATATGATAAAATATGATTTTATAAACTCAAAAATTATCATATCTCAGTCAGCATATTAACATCCAACTCAGATAACAGTTAATTTTTTAATGAAAAATGACTAGTTTGGAATATAATGAATATTTAAGTGACAATTTTATAACTTTTAATAGTCGAGGGACTCGACAATGCAATTCTCTATAGTTGAGGGATCATTTTATAAATTTTAATAATTATTAGACTCAATAAAACAATATCCTATAGTCGAGATACAATTTGTCAATCTCATGGATGGTATATCTTTCATGCAGTATGTTCTTATAGGTTTATGTTGTCTGACACGAAAAAAAGTTAGTATAATTCATATTTAGATCGAAATTTACGTAAAAAAAACCGAAGAAAAATAACTGATTTTTTCAATCCATGCAGATGAATGGGTTTGATTCAGCTCAAGAGATCTCATCCCAAACTCTAGCCAATGATCTACAAGAGGGGGATTTAGGTTTGTTCTTTAAGTTTTATAATTTTGTACATTAAATTTCTAGAGTATACTACGCATTCAGGACTTAAATTATCAGTTTTGGTGTATTTTAGTACCTAAACTTTTAAAAATCATACTTAAAAGTTTAGTTTTTTATTTCATTTTAGTATCCGAGCATTAAAAACTTAACGCGTTTAGTACCTAAAATATTGGTTTTGGTATGTTTTAGTACCTAAACTATTATTTTTTTCAGAATTTAACATTAAATTTTGAACGGGTAGTAAAATGAAACAAAAACTAAAATTTTTAACCAGAGACGGAGCTAGGATTTTAGTTCAATGGGCAAAGTATAATTAACAATATAAAATAAGGGTAAAATCAAAATAAATCAAAATTTAAAGGACTAAATAGGTAATTATCCCAATATTCTTTTATGGAAAAAAAATTGGGCCAAGCTTTTATGCACCTTTGTACCTGTTTTTAACTACGGATATTAAAATAAAATAAAAATTAAATTTTAGTTATGATTTTGAAAAAAATAAAAATTTAGATATTAAAATAGATTAAAACTTATAGTTTAAGTATTAGATATGTAATTTACCCTTTTTAGTATTACTCTCTAAAAAATCAATACTTTTGACGGTTAGACGATATGAAATTACGATGTTTATCGTGTTTGTGAAGGAACCTATATAGCCCTAACAAAAACAAAGAGTGTTGTTTTGGTCTATTTTGGTATTTAAATTTTTAAAAATTATATTTAATGTTTAATTTTTATTTCATTTTAGTGCTCGTTTTTTAAAAATTTAACGCGTTTAGCATTTAAACTATCAATTTTAGTATATTTTAGTACCTAAACTTTCATTTTCTTCAAAATTTAACATTAAATTTGAAGAAATACTAAAATGAAACAAAAACTAAACTTAAGGTATAATTTTAAAAAGATTAAAAAAATTAGGTAATAAACAGATCGAAACTGATAATTTAAATACTAAACACTTAATCTACCCTTTTTAGTATTACTCTCTAAAAATCTATACTTTTGACGGTTAGACGATTGTTTGATGAAATTAGGACGTTTATCGTGTTTGTGAAGGAACCTATATAGCCCTAACAAAAACGAAGAGGGTTGTTGCCCCCTTGAACAAGTAATGTCACAAAGGTGATTTTTGGTGGCAGGAAATCATGAGCCATTGCCACCAACCGAGAAGCACAAGAAATCAAGGCGCAAGCCATCAATAGAGAACGGATTGGACGACAAGTCTCTGATAGACGGCGATAAGGGCAAGAAGCACAGACGCCACCGCTCGTCGAACCACTCGATGGAGTCCCACTCGATGGAGTCCCCCAGTCGGGAGTCGTCTTCTTCCCACGGGAGACGCCACTCGAACCTCAACGCCGATGGCGGCGAATCCGCCGACATGCCCGACATCCCAAAGAAATCCCGACGGAAAAAGTCGAAGGCATCGGAGGGGGGGTCCTCATCATCAAGATCAAAAACAGGTTCCTTGCCTGATGTAGGTGAGCTTGAATCTTAAAAAAAATGAATGAACGGCAAAAACAACAACGTGATAGGGGCTGCCCATGCATGGTTTTTCATGGCTCAACAGCACCAGATAACATAAAATGAAACAACAGGGTTTAAAAATCATGGGGATTTCTTGAAAATCACATTCAGTTTTATTTATTTATTTATTTTTGATAAAAAAAAAGATAGTATGCCTTCGTTATATTGACGATTGTTTAAGTTGAATTATCGCTTTGAAAATTTTAAAGCAACAATATTCAACTATCAAGTCTTCGATAAATTCATTATGGTATCTCTTTAGTTTCTTTTTCATTTTCTTAATAACTAATTATATGTTTTCAATTCGTTATATTAAACTCATTCAATAATTCTATATATAATAGATAGAGTAACCATACAATCATAATTTTATGGGTAAATTACACTTTTAGTACTTAAATTATCAGTTTTGGTCCATTTAAGTACCTAAATTTTTAATTTTTTAAAATCATACGTAACGTTTAATTTTTGTTTCATTTTAGTATCTTAATGTTAAAAACTTAACGGCATTGTATTTTTTATGGGAAAATTATATCGTTCATCACTCAACTATCTTCTCACTCCTATTTTGATACTAAAGTTTGAAAATTTTCAATTTGACTACTCAACTTTCAAATTGCTCCTATTTTAATCCCTCTAATTTATTTTACTATTAATTTTTGTGGCATTACATTTTTTATTATTATTTTATTAATATATAATTAAAATAAAAATATTGAAAGTTATAGTGATTAAATTAGGAGTAATTTGAAAGTTAAGTAATTAAATTAAAAAAATAAACTTTAGTGACCAAAATAAGGGTGAGAAGATAGTTAAGTGATGAATGATGCAATTTACCCACAAAAAAAGGTGTCATGTGCAAATCACCGGTTACATTTTTAACAACGAGTTACTAAAACGAAACAATGATTAAACGTTAGATATGATTTTAAAAAAATTGATACCAAAACTATTAGTTTATATACTAAACATTGATTTTAATTGGGTTATATCTAGGGGTGAGCAAAACTCGAATTGACTCAAAAAATCAATTTTTTCGACTCAACTTGACTCGAGAAAACTCGACTATAATTAACTTCGAGTTGTAATTTTATAAACTCGACTCAATTCAAAAAAAAATTCAAGTTCAAATCGAGTTGTAAAATACAACTCAAATAGTAAATTGAATTACTCAAATTTTAAGTAATATTGGATTGATTTTCAAGTTTAATTTGAGTCCCTCCACATTGTATCATAAATGTATATCACATAATAAAAAAATATGAAAAAATACATATGTATTGTATACGATTATAAAAAACCATTTAAATTAGAATCAAATAATATTATAAATATTTATAATTAAATTTAAATAGAAACTCGAAAATTTGAATCGATTTGAATTTTATAAACTCGATTCAACTCCAAAAAATTTCAAGTCAACTTCAAGTTATAAAATAGGACTCGTCAACCAATATAACTCAAAAATTTTTTACTCGACTCGATCAAACGCTCTCTCCACCTACATAGTCAGAATATTATCATAACCATACAAATCTACTAATTTTTATTATAACATAAGTACCCAACGAATTGTTTTTTATATAAATTGCCGGAAGAACTTTTTTTCCGACATAACCAAATTTCGATGGTTAAAATTTATTACCGAGAAAAGATTTTGTCACTAACAATAATTATTATATTTTATTGAGTAAATTTATTTTTCAAGTAAATATTTTTTTATGTTTTCAAGAAAATTACATAAATAAAATAATTTTAAAAAATAAAATATAGAAATATGATAATATTCAAAAGTCTCGTAAAAACAACATGGTGGACCAAATATGCGTCACTGAATATCATAGTTAGTGTTTTTGGACGGCCCAACAATGCTTCGGTAGATAGATGGTCGTTTCTCCTTTAAAAGTGCATAATGACTTTAAATTTTTATTTTTATATTTTTTAAATAGAATTAGTGATTATAAGAGTATTTTATCTGAATTTTTTTAAAATTATTTATAACGTATATTTATGTTATAAATATAATTGTACGGACCCGAAACATGTAGGGAAAACAACATTCACTTTACTAATGAGATTACTTAATGGGTTACAATTTAAATTTAAAAAATAATATTAAGATTTATTTCTTCTTATAGAAAAAACAACAACTAATTTTACTAACCAAAAATTTCAAACCAAATTACTAATTAGTGTGTGACGCGATCGATCCAAATTAGTTAAGGGAAAGCCTTTTAACCGGGAGGGTATCCAAAAAAATAAAAGAAAGAAAAAATATTCAAAATTACTATAAGGGCTTACAATTAGAATCGTAAACTAAACACATAATTAAGATATTCTTCAGACAAAAAACTAGTCACTTGAGTTCATATATGGACCGTACAATTAAAAGGTGAAAAACCGATTCAAAAGACCTCTAATAATAAGGTATATATGAATAGATCTGACTGTTATGGCAAATGAATCACAACATGAGATTAAACTATTAAAATATCACCGACAAATGCAAATCAGAGCCGAGCTTCGTAAGGAAATTATCTACAAAACACAAGTTGAGTATCCAAGTCTAATTCGATGATCTAAAACATAAAAGGTTAATAGGATAACAAGTGAACGCCTACTTTATTAATCGTTGTGACATCAAATCCATTCTTATGAAAATTAAGCCGCAAAACGACGAAACGGACGAAAAATAAAACTTATCTACAAGGATTAATTTGCGTAGTTCAAATTTAAGAGAGACTTAATCGAAAATAAGCCCAAAAAAGTTAGAGGCTGGGATTTAGTTTATCTAGTTTTAGATTTAATAAGATCTAAAATTCAGTTGAATTCAAATACATATAGAACTATAGACCGATAAGTATTATAATTACCTCTAAATATATAAAAAAAATGTTATTTTTATTAGTCGATAAATTTTCTTCATAAAATCAAAATGTATTCGACTTCATCGTTTATAAAATCCGAACTACTTGATCTTATTTTTTTTTAATATTTTATATTATGAAATTAAATAAAATAAATTTTATCAAATTTAAATAAAATAATTATATTTAGGGTAAAATCCACAAATAGTCTCCTACAATATGGTATTACTTTATTAAGTCATTTGACTATTAAAAGTTATAAAATTGTCCTCTGACTATATAATGTTGCTTTGTTAAGTCCCTTGACTATTAAAAGTTACAAAATGGTCACCCGACTATTCTTTATATTCCAAACTCGTCCTTTTTCATTTAAAATTGGTGATTGTTTAAGTTGGATGTCAACATGATGAATGAGATATGATAGTCATTTAAAATTCTATGATTTGATTTTATCATATCACAGTAAACACGCCAACGTTCAGTTAAAAATATTATATATTTTTTAACAGAAAATAACGAGTTTGTATGATTAGGTAACCACTTTGAAAATTTTAATAATCAATGACTCAACAAAATAATATTCAGTCGAAAAATTATTTTATAACTTTTAATAATAAAATCACCTAATAAAATAAATTAGAATAACCGCTCTCACGTCTTAAATACAAAGTGCAAGTGGCATGACAAATATCCCAAATGACACCAAAGAACATTTAATATTGAACTGTGGCATTCATTTAGCGCCAGCTGTCATCTATTTTTATAATATAATAAAATTCTGTACCCTGTGATTGATATTGACGAATCATTTGGTCACGTGAGATTGATGATTTTGCCCCACGTGTTTCTTTCACCTGACCCCTCAAATAATAGTATCAATAAATTACATGAATATTTATTTAATTACAAGACAATTTTAATTTGATTAAAATTTGATTATATTATTAAGTTAAATAATACTTGTTAAATTAATATATATTTGTATTATCACTACGTCTGGTTATCCAATTATAATTATATATATAATATATATTTTTGTTGCTCATTTAATGAATATATTGTTTGTATATTGGAAAATAATAATAATAATAATAACTATTTAAATATAAGCTTAAGGGTTATTATTGTCCGTGTAGTAAATTCAAATTAGCATTTTCGCCCATATCATTTTTTACATCAATTTAACCCTCTACAGTGACCATCTTAATCCTTGAAGTCCGTTGACTTTTTTCGCAAACATAATTGAATTTTCTGTGTCTGTGGATTAAAAGATTATATTAAAAAATTTATTAAACACACTGATTAGAACAAATTCCCAAAATTCTATATGTTGCTTGTTATCAATAATTAAAAAAATTAAATAAATATTATATTGTAATCATTAGACAATTTAAAAAAAAATTAGAAGTAGATTTTAAGTAGATCATTTAGGTTGGTAATAAAATTAAAAAAATCGATTATTACATTTAAAGTCTTTCATTTATTAATGTATTATTGTTGTTATATTCAATACTATAAAATCATTTACCACATACAATAAGTTTCATTTATCATTAAGTCAAATGATAAGAAATTTAATAATTTTAATTCCAGATTTTAAATTCCATCCTTTTAATTGAAAATTCATGCTAACGTAAAGTTATCTCAAATAAATGTATAATTAACTTCAATGCAAAAAATAATTAATATTCATATAATTATTCAAATATTAAAAAAAAAACTAACAAAATATAATTCAAATCCCAAGGTCCGAACACAAAACAAAATGCTACCAACCATAATCAATATGCATCACCCATTCCATACAAACAAACAAAATCAATTAGCTTTATATCATATTCTTTATCCACTACAAAAAATTTAAACTACTATATTGTCTCATTAAAATTATTTATTTTAAATTTTAGAACTATTTTATAAAAAAAGTTATAAACAATAACATTTAAATTTAATAAATTTATCTCATAAAATTATGTGCGTAGTTAACAAAAAAATAAAAGGGTAAACTATGCATTTAATACATAATGTTTTACTTTTGGTGCGTTTTAATACTTGAACTTTTAATTTTTATAAAATCAAACATAATGTTTAGTTTTTATTTTATTTGAATACTCCTTCGTTAAAAATTTAACGACATAATGGCGAGGCATTTTTAATAATTTTTAAAATTTTATATTATTTTTATATTATATTTTAATGAGAAAATAAACAC